AAAAAAAAAAAGAGCTATAGAGTTAAAAAGATCTAGTTTTAAGTTCCATCATTTGCTAGCTGTTTTGACCTGAAACAGGTTACTTCTCAGTGGCTTTATTTCCTCCTCTATAACATGAAGATAATACCTCTACACAGGATTATGAGTGGCAAATGTATTGATCTTGGTATACCCCTCAACCCAGGGGCTAGCAGAGAAGAGCTCAGTAATTGATAGTTTTTAAATGCTGTGATGACCTACCTTTAAAGTAATACCTATTATAGGAAATCTCTAGCAATTATGGATACTAAGCTAAATCAAGCCATATTACAGGACTAAGTCAGAGAATACCAATCAGATGATAGGATAAGAACTAGGACAATCTGCAGGGACCCTTAAAATAATCTGTTCATAGTAATCATGACATTTTTACAATGTAATTGTGGCCTCCTTTGTATTACTTGCTAGACTGCAAGCCTCGGGAAGAATTATGTCTTACTTGCCATTGTGTCCCCATTACAGGACCTTGGCATATAGGAGTTACTCAAACACTTGTTGAATGATCTGTGGCTCTATGCATTTTTATTCAGATCCAGTGTAGTACTTTAAAATGCTTTGCGGTTACAGAAAATACCTACATATAACTACAATATAAGCTTTACCCTGTTGCAGAGCTCATCATAGATAGACTGATTGATAGAATCTAGCAATTTTGCCTTTTCTATTCTTACAGGATATTTTGTTAAAATTAAACTGTTTTTACATAATTGTAGATGCATATGCAATTGTGAAAAATTAACACAGAATCAGTGTACCTTTTATTCATCTCTTCTCCCATTAGTAATATTTTGTGAAACTGTGGTATAATATCACTATCAGTATTGATATTGATAGGCTCAGTGTTGTTAATTGATCCTATTCAGATTTCCCTAGTTTGCTCCTGTTCATTTGTATGTATTTATTTCTATGTAATTTTATTCCATGAATTCATGAATTCACCACTACAGTCATAATACAAAATAGTCTCTTTACCACAAGGATCTCTCCTG